CTGGCAGTTTTCAACAGATGTGACTTTGACTTGATACTGACTTTTAAGGTATGAGGCAAACCACTTCACAACTTGAGAACTAGCTCCAATGGTCTTGAGTTTTTTGTCAAGAAGCACGTGGTCCACCGTATCGAAAGCCTTTGAAAGATCTAAGAAAACTGCTCTAGTGAAGTCACCTTTATCAAGACTCTGTAGTAGACATACATAAGAATACTTCCAGTGAAGCCGCCTTTATAAAGACTCTGTAGTAAACATACATAAACATACACCTAACAAGAACTGAATTTTTGCTCGGAGACATGAAACATTTTAAGTCTCAGTTAAAATCACAGAAGAAACCTATTAACCAAATTAGTCAAAGTTCTAAATAGTTGAACAAATATGGTGCGAAATTAACAACACGCCTCAAATAGGTAACAACATTCGTCAGTTTATGATTGGAAATACAGTCATAGTTTTATTCACATCAAAATGACCAGTTTTGAGCTAGAATTAATAACTTTCTTTTATATCGATTTGGATAATATCGATATTGCCAACAACACAAACCCTTCAAAGCCACGCAAAGGATTGTTAACACAGTGACATGAGCATTATTCACTCAAACTTATTCAAAATGTTCACAGCCTTTAAAATTGCGCCTTGGTAACTTCTATAAACTAAGTACTGGCCACAAGGATTTAAGTGAACTCCATCCTCCAACAGGAAATCAAGGCTTGGAGAGTCCAAAATCTTATGTTGCCATACAAACACTTCGGGGCGGTCGACGACGACACTTAAATAAAGATTTAACACTTCTACCTTATTAAATGTTGGCTCAGCTCGCTTAATCACCTGACAAACTCCAACTACCCCAACAGGAAAATGGTTCAACGATAACTCGACTAATTCATCAATCTGAGAACCAACCATTTCTGGTGGTTTATTACAAAGGTCATTGGTACCTATTTCTGATATGACAACATCTGGTGCAAAGTGGGAGACATTCACTAAGTCAAATGGCTTAATTTTATTAACCGTCCTTCTGCCAACACCAAATAAATGGACCTTAACATCCTTGAGGTTGAAGTTACTTGTGGCGCAATCATCAAAATGGTGCTCCAAGTCACAACTGAGGCGTTGAACAAAAGAATGACCAAGTATCGTTTTTTCGGGACACACAAAGCCATTTTGGACTGAAAGGGAAATAATTAATTGAAAGGTCAAATCACTCGTATCCACAAAAACCGAAGTGATGCGACACCAGCCTAAAATGTTGGTGAAAATGGTTGAAAGTTATTAAAAACAAATTGAAAAGTGAAAATGGGTTGCAAGTTGTTGCCACTGAAGCAAATAAACTATGAACTAGACGTAATGAACATAACGGAACTGTTTCTCCAGACAATACACACGCTCATGGTAAAGAACAGAACTGTTTTAATACTTCTAATTTCTCTCAGTAAAGATCACTAACTCTCGCCATGTGCTTTTTTTTCTGATACATCACTTCTTGAAAACGACATCCTATAATATCCATAATCCTAGCTCCCAGGCCCCGACGACCTTAGGGTGCTCCTGACAAGTTTACAAAGTAAAAAAACGCGAACGAAACATTCTTAACATCCGAGTATCAACCTACCAATTCTCACACTCTCCCCTATTTGATACAAGTAATTGGGATCAAATAAACGTAAGTTCAGTGTTCGACTGCTTCTTCCTCAGTGTGGTGAATGTTCTCCGCTGCTACAGCTGCAGCCCTCCTAACGGGGCGAAACTCCCTTGCTCTGGGATTTAGGGACAGTTCTTCTCTCACACGCTGCTCTTGATCACAGGAAAGCTCCAAAGGAAACAGATGCTGGACTGCCCGTTCAAGGTACGATTTTCCTGCCCTCAGCCTCACGGCTCGTACCACCCCATCTCGGCCTTGGAAAAGCTTGACTACTATGCCCATGTTCCATTTCCCTCGGTTACGTTCAGCATCCGGGATAAAGACCATGTAGCCAACGCACCAGCAATAATATAAGTCGTAAAAGAGTTTTAATTCAACTGGAACAAGAGCTTGAGAATTGGAATAAATGTACTACAACGGTCACCAAAGATCCTATTTCATTGTTTGTATTATGTAAAAGAGCGGAACGACTAATTACAACAATGGAAATAACGTAGGAAATACAGATAACATAGGAAATACGAGATAAACGAAGACAGAGGACATTACCTGATGATTTGGGAATACGGCGAACGAAGTAAGATAAAGAACGTAACGTAGTTGTAACAGCTAGCGAACTCGAGCAAGATACTTTACGATTTACGTAACCCGTGCGAAAGTTGAATTACTTATACGTAAACACGCGGACTGGGACTAGGCGGGGATTGGTCACTACAGACCACATCTCCTAGCTTGAGGTTCATCTGTTTGGATTTGTGCTTCATATTGTGTCTTTCCCTCAAGGACTTCAGATACTCCCCACTCCACTGATTCCATAAAACCTCTTTACACGGGCGTAGATACTTCACTCTCTTCCTCAAGTCAGCATCTTCCTCTGTGCTTTCTTCTGGGACAAGTCTTGGTTGACCAAACATCATGGCAGATAAAGTCAAAACTGGTAGCTGCACGTCGTCTTCCATGTATTACAGAGGGCGATCATTCAGAGCCACTTCTATGTCCAGCAAGACTTCCTCAAGCTCATTCCATGTTAGGCTAGCTCGACCAATACTTTTGAACAATGCCCGTTTTACGACGCCCACAAGCCTCTCAAATTGTCCCCCCCACCAGAGGGCTCTGCTTAGATTGCATTGCCACCTTATTTCCTGATGAGCGAGGTAGTTCTCCAGCTGTTCATGTTTTACCACCCCTTTCAACCATTTCGCTGCGGCAACAAAAGTTTGCCCGTTATCAGAATAAATCTTCCTGGGGCAGCCTCTCCTCACGATGAACTGTTTCAGATGCGTGATGAACTCCTCAGCTGTTTGATTCAGCAGCAACTCCAGGTGGACAGCTGTAGTTAAGCTGCAAGCAAATAATAAAATATACGCTTTTCCTTCTTTCTTTGTCTTGAGTTTGTACCCTATCGGTCCTGCAAAGTCTAGGCCAACTACTTCGAAAGGGGTTGATCCTTCCGTCCTGTCTGTAGGCAAATTTCCAACTGGTGGGTTTGAGAATGCGGTTACTTGGAATTTCTTGCACCCATAGCATCCTCTGATAACTCTCTTTGTGAGCTGTCTTAGCCGCGGTACCCAATATTGTTGACGAACAAAACTCATCGTGAGTCCCACTCCCCCATGAAGACTTAGCACATGTTTATCATGGACAATTCTTCTCTGTTAACAAGGTATCTGGCGGTAAGTAGGTAGGGTAGCTTCCCTGGATTCTCCCTCTACACACGTACAGACCCTCTTCATTCTTCTGCAAATTAAGTTTGAGCTGATCTTCATGGAACGTGTCTGTGTTTAACTTGCTGTTTTGAGCTCTTCCTATCCAGAATTCCACTATCTTGACAGTCTCACATGTGGTCAATGGACCAGACAACCGGTGCTTCTTGCCTTTCTTACAGTTTTCAATAAATCTTGCTACCCATGACGTGATACGCATCATCTGCCAGAATCCATGTTTCTCTAAAACCTGGTGTAGGGTGTCCTCCATCTCTGTGGCCTCAGCAAACACTTTCTTTACTAGCTTGGCCTCTGCTTCTGTCTCTTTACTTGGCCTAGTTTGCACCACCGCTGGCCACATTTCTGGTTCAGTCAGCCAGTTTGGTCCTTTCAGCCAGATTTCAAGACGCTCTCTAGACAGGGTGCCTCTGCTCCCCACGGCAGCTGGATCTTGCTCTGTTCCTACATACCTCCACTTTACATAGTCCTTGGCATTAATTTGTGCAACTCTATTGGACCTAAATTGTTTGTAGCTCCCTTGACCAGCGATCCAGTGCAAGACTACTGTACTGTCTTTCCATCCATACACAGACCTCACTAGGTATCCTTCCAAAGCACTTCTTACATTGTCTACAAGATTGGCTGCAATGTGAGCAGAAATGAGCTCCAACCTTGGCATGGTAAGTCCTTTCTTTGCTAACCGTGCCTTTGCTGCCAACAGACCCTGGTGAATACCAGATTCTTGATACACAACTGCGTACACTGCTGCTACTGTCCCTTTTCCACTTGATACACAGAATGCATGCAGGTCTAGAGCTTGGACCGGTTCCTGAGCTATAGTTAGACTGCGTGGGAATTTAAGCTCACCAGGCCAGTTTCCCTTAAATTTCTCCCATTGTGCTTTCAGTTCCTTGGTAAAACAGCGTCCCAAGGGAGGTGTCGGTCACATGCTTCTCTGAAAACCATTTTCCCTACCAAGGTTACAGGACTTGCTACCCCAAGAGGGTCATATATTGAAGCTAAGCTCCTTAGCACATCTCTCTTTGTGGCTTCATGTGAATCACCAGAAAGGTCACAGCCAGAGTGTCCTCCACCTTATCCCAAGGGAGCCCGAGTATTTTTGCTTCATCGGTTTTCACCCCCAACTGTTCCTTAGCATATGTCTGGCTATCTTCTGTGAACTGATTATCTGTTTCCAGTTCTGTGGCATTGAATGGGTCCTTTGTCGCATGTTTAGCATGAAGGAGGAGGCGGGTGTCGGCTTCCTCTTGATCTGATTGCAGCTCTTCTTCTTGTGCGCTCTCTGAAGTTAGTTTATAGCAATGCTTCTTACATGTAACATAGTGTCTTGTGTTGCCGCTTTGATCGGCAAGGTAGTTTACTCCAGTGATCGACAACAAAATTTGATTAGGCTGGTTTTATTCTGACCATTCTGCAAAAAGCTTCTGAATTGATTAACCTTCTGGTCGCTTGAAAGGTTTTTTAATGTGATGGAATCTCCTTCGCTTCTCAACTCTCTCTCCACCTGATTTAACTTACAGGTCCCTATACACGTCAAACACAACGTCTATTCTGCTACTACCCTCGCCCTCTCTCAAGACTCTTGATAATGCCATTTTGGCAATTTCACCAAATGTAAGATGGTCTACCTACAGTTTCTGAATTAATGACATACCGTCTATCAGGTAGGCCGATGGGGTTGGAACAACCACTGTTGGCTGAACCAGTTTCTCTAACTCCCTTCCAAGTTGTGCTTTGTTTGTCTTTCGTGGCAAGTTATTGCTTGTTGCAAGAGAGGCAGGAAGGGGTCCAAGAGGATGGCAAAGAACCTCCTGCATCTGAAGCTGTCGACTTTTGGCGATGATCATCATTTGTGCAAACAAATTTCGATCAGCATGGAGTACTGTCTTGTTGCCTTTGCTCTGCTTCAACTTTTTCGTTTTATTATGATCACTGAAGGTCTTTAACTTTTGCTTTGTCAGTGTATGATGGAAAGTTACTGGTGGTTTCTCCAGCTCAAGGTGTTCCTTTTTGAATTGTTGGTAGGCGGTCTCCCCGACTAGGTATGCTCTGCTTAGGTCAAGTTCAATTTCGGGAGAAGCAGTGGCACTCATGGAAATACTTAAGAGGGGCTGGTAATTGCTAAATGGATTGGTCCAGTTACTTTCAATAAGATCTACCATTGCTTTTATGTCTTGTTCATCTTGTTCATTCGAAACTTTTGGAGGTGAACATGATCATTATTTCCTTGAGCATGTCCTACCATGGTTCGCAAGTTACGGAGGAATAGACTTCTGAACTCTGCTGTCATGTAATATCTATCGTTGTACTGCACTGGACCTCAAGCTGAAACCTTTAGTTCCACCCCGGTCTGTGTCTCTATTAACAGTTTCTTCAGTGGTTTGATCCACAGGGATTCGCCCAACTGTCTTGTTTGAGCTCATTTGAACTGAAAAGCTGCCCATTTTCATATACACTCATGTACCTCTGGGCGCTCGTCTTGGAGACTTGTCATGTCACGGTAGTACACAGACATGTACTGAGCATAATTAATGGCATCGTAGGCAAAGCATCACGGAAGCATTTGGTGAATATAATAGAGATGTAGCATCCAATCTCCTTCCCTTGAGGCTCTGACCATGTGCAGCGTTTGCTCAACCACGTCAATAGATGACATCCAGAATGCTTGGAGAGGGCCATTTGTTTTTCGGGGATGGTCTACAAATTCTGCAAAGCGCTCATTTAGGCACTTGAATGGCTGGCTCTGTACAATACAATCGGGGTTGTCCTTAGTTAAATCATTCGCTAGGTTTGTAACTTTGTTCAGAGCTTTCTTAATGTGATCCATGTCTAGAAGATAACACTCATCTACCCCAGGTTGAAATCCCCTCCAGGCTACTCTCATCGCTGCCTCATAGAGTCCATTGAGTCCAGAATTCTTGAATTTCAATTCCGAAAATAGCGTTGTCCAGTAGAGTATTGTTAAAATGCCAGTAGCCGGGGCCTCGAGGTTGGCGGTCGAGGTCAAGAATTAGCGTGATGAGATCGTGGTCCGAGTGTGGATAAGCGATAATTGAAGTGTCTGAGATATAAGGGGTGATAGGTTGTGATGTATAGAAGCGGTGGATACGGGTGCTGATAAAGGAATTATTTTGTTGTGGGTCACGACCGGTCTGAGTGAATCCACGGTTATTTGGATTGCGTTGTAGCCAGGTGTCAACTAAATCAAATCGAGAAGTGAGATTGTGTAGAACACGGAGAGTGTATTGTCTGGATGTAACATTTCCTCCTTGTTTATCCAGCGTGGGGTTAACGATGGAATTAAAGTCTCCGCCGATAACGTTGTGATAGCGGGATGAGAAAAAAGGTTCCAAAGAAGAAAAAAGTTGCCGGTGGTCAGTGTCAGAGTTTGGAGCGTAGAGATTAACTAGGTGTAGATAATGATCATCAATTTTGATTGTAATGGCAAGAATGCGGCCAGAAGAATCCTGAGAAGTATTAATATGTGTGTAATTGAAACGTGGATTAAAGAGAGTTGCGACACCGCATGAGTTGGCAGTTCCGTTGTTAAAATAAATGTCTCCTGTCCAGTCGCATTGAATAGCATCCTGTAAATCAGTAGTCCAGTGTGTCTCTTAGAGGAAAATAATATCGTACTTGCGAAATCTGAGAAAATGAAAGGCAGATTTTCGACGGTCAGGAGACCTGAGGCCCTGGGTATGAAGACTGACGAGGCTGCACATGATTGGCAGTAAGGGAAGAAAGCGTAAATAAATCATGGTGAGATCCGGGGAAGGCATCCGTAGAGTATAAACTTTTTACGAAGTCTCAGGTGAAGTCGCGTTTTCTTTGTTACGCGGGTTAGAAGTATTAGGCTTCGGATGAAGTTGAGGTCGTCGCAGTGGTTGTTTTTGCTTAGCTGTGTGGGAGTCCGAGTCAGACACGTGGCCTTTTGAGGGTTTTAGACTCGTCTGAGTCTGCTCTCCTGCATAAGAGATTTTTACTTGGAATTCCCCAATGGATAGGTGGTGCAGAATGGCCTCATGGCAGACCATGCGGACTACCTGCATGCCGGTTCGGCAGTGTACAAGTTCACATAAAAATCTCGGCAAGCTGTCAAAATATTTTCATGAGATGTGACTGTCTGATCCCGGACACATAATTCATTGATCGAGTTACGGGTCTGGTGTTGCTTTTCGAGTTGGTAAAAATATTTTGTAGGTTTTTCTCCGAATTCAAGTCATTGCTCTCTGCTACGGATTATAGCTCCTTCTACGTTATGATCTTCGATAGTTTTTAAGAGGTCTCTGATCTCCACTAAGCGAATGTGATTGTCGGCGGTATTTGAAGTACCGTGAGACAGATTCATTTTCTAAATTAAGTTTGTCTCGCTTACGCTCACGTGCTTGAGCGACACTGTGAGCGATGGCGATTTCTTTTAATTGCGGTTTGCCAGCGTCCCACCAAACCTGGGGTTCGGTGAAAGCCGGTTTATATAGTGTCCGCGAGAGGCGTGATCCCAGGCTCGCGGCGTATAAAACCGATCCAGCCTACATCCCATGGAATGAGGGCTGTTAAACCACGTAAAAATCTTACCGCGCGGGTTGGAACCACGATAGAAGTCTTCTAAAGCGAGGGACTTTGTAAAAGAGTGGAGCTGCGTGACAGCCCTGTCTCCAAAACTGTCATCGCCTCCCCACTTATCGATCGCAATATCCGGTACACAGTTGAAATCCCCAACAACAATAGTTTCTAGGTTCGAGTATTAATAACGCCAGAGATTGTCAAAAAATATTTCGCGTTCGCTGTGGTTATTAGGCCTGTAAACATTAATTATTTGAAAATGCTGTCTGTGAAATTCGATTAAAACCGTAACGATTCTACCTGCTAGGTCGACTTTATAATCCACGAGTTTCACAGCACTATTCGGGTGAATAAGAACCGTGACACCCGCGGACCTATTTGAGCCGAGGGACCACGCGCACTGACCCCCCCCATTCCTTCTCCCATGCCTTACCTTGCGAGGAATCCGCAAGGTGAATTTCTTGTAATAAAAATAAATCAACGGGCATAGCTTGCAAGCATCCAAGAACCTTAAGGCGCTTATGACGTTCGGCAGCGCCGTTAACGTTTATGGATGCCAGTGAGACAGCCATGATGGGAGGAAAAAATTAAATTAAATTTAAATGTGTGAAAGTTAGTGTTTAAATAGGCCAGGGTGTAACCGGGAGAATTCCTCCGCGATCCCGCGATCCTATTGAGTTCCACAAATGCATCCTGAGGGATTTGGCGATGTAGTTGTAGCCAGGCATCAGTCTCTTGGTCGTTCAGTGCTCGGCAAACAGGGTTGCTGAGGTCCAGGTTCCCATAGCGATGTTGAAGATGTAGCGCTCGACATCGGTAGTACTGTGGGGCTGGGAAATTTTTCATCAATTTAGACTGCTCAGAGAGAGAGAGAGAGAGAGAGAGAGAGAGAGAGAGAGAGAGAGAGAGAGGTGGGGGGAGAGAACGCGATCCTCCACGCGTATATGACTTAAACGTGAGTGCTGCTTCAGTCAGTTTTTAACCACATTTTCAGTCGATCTGCAGCGGTAGTATGTAATTGGCTGGCCCGTATATTTATAAAATATTTCAAGACCTTGGGTCACAACTTTCCTGGGTAGATCTCTGTCGAGTGATGTAAATTCTGCAACGCGGATACCACGCTCAATAGATGTAAAACCCTCCTCGGTATAACAGAGGCGGCGTAGATTTTTGGACTTTAACTGTCCATACTGGAAATCTTTTAAATGTTACAGAACCAGTCCCATAAGGTGCCGCTGTTTGTGGCTTTGAACCTACCAAGACGCACCAAGTAATTTCAAAGGCTTTCTTTCAGCCCCATAGTCGAAGCCAGACATGGCCAAGTGTGTTGCAGCGTTGGTAGAGCGTAGCATTATTTCAAAGCATTTGCTCCCGGAATTGGGGACAATGCAGTGATTTCCTCCTTGAAATCGGGAAGAGACCTCACAATTTCAATTGCGTTTATATCCATGCCTTCTTCAACAATCAGTCGAACAGTTTTTGTGTGTGCAAAGGTTGCGCAGGGTCGCACAGCCATCGCGCAAAGCACATGTCTGGCGGAGTAAAATAAATCTGCTCAAAAGACGAAAATAAAACCAAAAACCACTAAACAAACCTCACAAACAGAATGTCCGCAGGGAGAAAAGTCCAAAAGCAAGGCGATCCAAGTGCGGGAAAAGGAACTGTCCATGTTTTTGGCGGAGACACTGAAAACGTGACCGATAAGAACAGATACTACACTTGAAATAATTGACAATGCCATGTTGGGCGTTAAAGTAGCGAAAGTATGAGGAAGTACAATCGGTGGCCATTGGAAAAACTCCTTTCTTCTTAGGGCCCTTGTGGTAACTGCGGAGGTCTTGATGGCCACAGGACTCTGTCCTGTGATGGATCTCTGGCCTTAATAGAAGCCTGACACAGGGGACACTAATGAGGTACAGAGCACCCAGATGTTGCTAAAAAACGATTAAACAGCAAGCAAAGGGAAAAAAACTGTCTCTTATCAATACAATATTTCTTCCCCACAGGGAGGTGGGCTGCACTCGGAGGTTGTCCTATACTGAGACAACCCAGAGAGACCCGACAAATGCAAACTAGAACATTTAGTTTCAAAGTCTACTATGTTCAGACCCCCACGCACGATGGGGGCCACGTAACACTTCCGCCTAACAGTTTCAGATCTGGACCTCCAATTAAAAGGCCACACAACTCATTTGTATTTGAGAGAAACTCAACCTGGTGGTGGTAGTACTTTGGCAACATGCCAAAACCTACTAGTACCAAGAAAATTTAAAATCATACCCCTACCCAAAAAGGAAAGATCTCTTGGTGACCACAACACTAAAACCTTTTTTAACTGATCCAATTTGTGACCTCCAGGAAAACGTACACTAACGGTTTTCCGTTTAACGGGTAAAAACTAACGGCTAACGAACGGCTTGTTAACGGCTTTTCTAACGCCTTTAACGGATTGGCTAATGGTTTGAACGGGTTGGCGAAAAAATCTAACGACCTATAAAAGCGTTCGAACGGATTTGCTTTGATTTTCCTGACGACTTTTTTGAACGTTTCTGACGGGCGGACTAACGGCTTTAAGAAACAATCATCTAACGGTCTAAGAGAACGTTTGATAAAAATCAAACGTTTCGAGTGATAACAGCTCAGAGATACCTAAAATTACAAGTCTGAGAGAAAATCTAATGGAAAACGAAAGTTCTAAACATCGAGGTATACATCAAATACCATAACAACGCATCACGCGGACTGTCCTGTTACGAATAGTAAGTTTGCATGCTTTCGCTTGCTTTTGCTCGCTTTCGCTAAGAATAACATTCGGTCATCCAAATCCTATTCTTTTTTTTTCATTCCAAGACAATAGACGCGGTAACCAGAATTACCGGCTGTTATCTTATAACTTGAAGATTCGTACGCTCAACTGCAATTTATTCGAAATGAGTTATTCTTTGTGAAAATGTGTAAACTGAGATCGTGTGAAGTCCAACAGAAGGAATGGTTTACTGGCGCCTACAGGTAAATAGTCAGAAACCTATTCGTTTACATGTTGCTATTAATAGTTTGTTACGTACGTATGTTAATGCTCGTGTGTTTAAGTGTTCGAATGTAGCCTGAATGACAAACGCATGAAAGTGTGAGAAAACGTATGTGTTGTAGGTTTTAACCGAGTACAGATTGGGCGATAATCTAGCGCATGTAGAGCGATAACCTAACAATTATAATTTCAAAGGACATAGAACAGAATAATCAAAAGAACTTCACTCATTAAACGTCCTAGAATGCAAATCTAATGACTTTGGCGAACGCTTTGAACGACCTTGACTAACGCCTTTAACGGTTTCTCTAATGCTTCTAACGGCAAGGCAAATTGTTCTAAATGAACGCTTTCCCAAGCCGTTTTAATGCTTAGTTAACGGGTACTTAACGCTTTAAGCCGTTAAACGGTAAACCGTTAGTGTACGTTTTCCTGGAGAAGGTCACATTTAGGTTGCCAATTATCTTCATCCACATCAACTAAACAATTCGAAAATTAAACACCTAGGATCCTAAGTTTATTAACCCATTTGAGGCCAAAGAGGGAGGCACCATTTGCTCGCCACCTCCCAAGCCACATTGCCTCAGATTTGGTTGTATTGAGCATGGCTCCAGACCCCCCTCTTATACTTATTTACTGTTTGTAAAAGGTATCAGATCTCTCATTCCTTAAAAAATTAGTTGTGTCATCAGCATACTACGATATTGTTAACTGAAGGCCACCTGCTCCAGGGAGCAGGAAGCTTTTGATCACAGGATTTTTACTAATCTGGTTTGTTAAGACTGCAGATGTTCAAAAGTAGAGAAGGTGGAGAGAGGACACCCGTCTGATCCTTCTAAGATGCACTTAAATGAGGAGAAACATTAACTGGAAGAATAAATAAATCAACAAAATCATGATGGCAGAGAGCGCAAGGAAAGCGATCAAGAACAGAAGCCTGTGAAAAACCTTTACTCAAACACTGAAAAGAAATCACCTTTGGATTTCTTTTTTTTCTTCGACATTGACAAAACAGCAATTGGACTTCCTGGCAGACAAGTAACGCTTGTCCGCGCTAAAGTCCAATTTTATATTCAACTGATTAAGTTCAGAGTCAATAAAATTAAAATCGCCTCCTCAAATTAATAGTAATAACAATTAATAATAATTTGTGTTTATACAGGGCAAACCTCTATATGGATGCATTTGGTTGCACTCTACAATATTGTTATATTAAATTTATGATAAAGGTGACTAAAGCGTGAGAAACTATTAAAAACTACAATAAAAAGTGTAAAAAACTATCCAAAAAAAACCTACAATAAAAGCCAACAATTAAATCTCTTTAAAAGCTAAATTGAAAAATGACTTTTAACAGCAGTCTTAAAAGTGTCCAATGTCTTCATGTTGTGAATTGCTGAAGGTAATGCGCGTTCCAGAGATAAGGTACAGCTGAGTGGAGATGGGTCTTAATGCCTGGTAACTCGAGGAATACAGACTCATTTGACCTTAGAGAGTACCTGGATTGCTTTTTGATAGTAATTTAATGGATTGGATAATTAGGAGCTTGACTATATAAGCACTTAAATGTACATAAGCACTTAAATGCATAAGAGGTTTTTCTCTAGGTAATGACGAAGTTAAGATAAGCCAATACGCTGATGATACCACTCCTATCTTAGACGGTTCAGAGAAATCCCTTACATCAGCAATACAAATTTTAGATGATTTTGGTAAGATCTCCGGCCTTAAGTTAAACGATAGCAAAACGGAAGCTCTTTGGATCGGTTTAAATTTTAGATGATTTTGGTAAGATCTCCGGCCTTAAGTTAAACGATAGCAAAACGGAAGATCTTTGGATCGGTTGTAAGTTAGGGTATGAACAAATCCTTGTTTCAGGAAAGAAGTTTAAGTGGCCAAAATATAAAGTCAAAACACTTGGTTTGTGGCTGTCAATTGATCCGGACACGGCTGTAAGGTTGAATTACAACGAAAAAACTGAAAACATTAGGAAGCTTTTGAGTTGCTGGAAATACCGTAGGCTCACGTTGTTAGGGCAAATTACTGTCCTCAAATCACTGGCCGCATCGTAACTGGTTTACCTGCTCTCCCCTTTACGCTGAAGTCATCACGCTATAAAAGAAATAAATGACATGTTTTACCATTTCCTATGGAATGGTAAAGGTGACAAAATCAAGAGAAAAGTTATGATCATCAAACCTGAATATGGCTACAACGGCGAGAGGTGGGGGTCTGTCCATCATTAGATACGCAGATTAAGAATTTAGCAAAGCAAAGATAGCTCGGAACAGCATTCAGCGCATGCACATGAAAATGTGGTAACGCGTTAAAAATGCCATCAAAATGGTTGAAGACAGTGGATAATTGCAGTATCGGGCAATTCATATGGGGCGTCATAAATTGTAAGAACAGCAGTAGAGCCATCCACGTCATTCACTGCGTGAGGTTTACCGGTCAATGAAAAGGAGCATTCCTGAATAAATTTGTCAGGTAAATCACGGAAAGTCACATAAATTTTACCCGAGGGCTTGCGTTGCAGGCAGCGAATGTGATTTTTTGTAAAACCACTATTATTGAGCGCTTTAAAGACCTCCACAGCAGACAAACTGACTTGTTCAAAAGAAAGCCGAGCATGGTCTGTTGGGGATAACATTCTCCACGTGGAAATTGTCTCTCTCAAAATCAGTCAGATATCTATCTTGAACGATATGTGATGGCGCAGAAAGGTTCCGAGCAACATTAACCAGAGCTTTATCCACATGCACTGAGTCAAAATATTCCCTGTTTGAGCTTGCCATTTTCCTCCAGAAATTCTTCATTAAATTCAAAATTCTTGTCCTCAGACATCGTCATAAAGGTTGCCTGTATGAATAACGTCGTCGATAGAACTCGCATCGGAAATATTTTTCCCAACAAGAACAACATGACATCTGTTGTGGATCGCAGCAGCAAGTGGGTCGTTGGTATTCAAAGTCTGCTGAGGCATGAAAGCAAGAAAACATGGATGAGTAAACTCAAAAGGAAAAGCTTACCCAATCTCACTGCCAGCCCCCAAAAAACTTCAACATTTCCTTCAAAGGATAGAAAAAGGATCTAGCCAAAAGGCAGGGAAGGGATGCCCCTTAAGGTCCTTTGGACCTAGGGTAGTTGGCTCCTTCCCTATCCCAGATATGGTGGTTGCAGTACTGTCGCATCCCATGATGCGTCCGAGCACAGATACTCAGCCAAGCTCATCAGGACACTACCGTGTGTATAGACAGGAATCAAATATAATCTTCATGGCAAAAAGGCCCTAAAAGCTCAGCCATTAACCTGTAGGAGGACGAGGAACATGAAAATAAGGCAGACTGGGACCGCTTAGTAGGCCGTAAAGGTTTTTAAAGCCTGGAAAGGTTGGTGCAAGTGGCTGCACAAATTAATTTACAGTTACAAAAGATGACTTCATAGCCTGTTTTGAACGTCAGGGTCGCCTGAGCACGGTAATCAACGAGTGCCTCACTTACATGTTCACCATACTCGGTATAAGAAGTAAAATTTTCTCTCCTTTCTCCCACCTAATGCTTGTACAGTGGATCGGAATATGATCATCGGGTTGGTTAGGGTATTTCGAAGGCGGTATTCTGTGGCTGAGTTGTGAATATTGTAGTGGGCTAACGTCTGTGCCTAGTTGAGGAGGGATACGGCGCGTTTACTAAGTGGGTCGCTCTTGGTGCAGATGTAGCCAAAAAATTGTGATGTAGGAGTAACGGCGATGTGTTGTTGGGTACTTTTGTTGATATATGCATTAATGGTTGACCAAAAAAGGTGAGGAGATTGGGGCAGTCCAGCAAAAGGTGTTCGATCGTTTCTACGTTTCTGTTGCAATTTGGGCATTGAGCAGTTGGGTAAACAGCCATGCAGTATAAGGGAAGAGCTGTGCGTAGGTTGCGGTGAGCGATTTTCTGGTTATGTCACAGTGTTTCCAGAAAGCGGTGTTAAAAGACATTTGAGGAAGCAGGGAGTTGGTCCAATGTTGTAGCGGAGGTATTGAAGGAGGCGGTTGGTGTAGGAGGTCCAGGTAGAAGTCACGTGTGGTGTGGTGTTTGATGTTCGGGGGGTGTGGGTGTTGTATTGACGTGGGCGGTGTAACGAAGGATAAGGCTTTTCCACGAACAGGGTAAAGCCTGTAGGATCTGTTGAAGTTGGGGTGTGGTTCGGTATCAAAATTGGTGTACAAGAGCTCGTGAATAGCAAGAGGTGGTAGGAAACCATGGATGGCGAGGTAGCAGATGTCTTGGACGCGGGTTAGGCCAGCTGATATCCAGTGAGGGAAGTGTAGAGGTGTATTATCTAGCGTTATAAGTGGGTTGCCGAAGATCGATTCCTGTAAGAGGGCGGATAAGGAGACTGGGTACGGGTGGCGGTTATGGAGGGGGGTATTTGTTCCATGCAATGAGAAGTTCGCGGTGGTAGGGTGGTATAGAGGGGTCAATGTCCTGTGTTTTATAGTCCAGGGTGAGAGTGTGTAACGCAAGGTTGAGGTTTGTGAGGTGGAGAGAATGTGCCATAAAGTGTTTCCAGTGAGCAGGCTCAGGGAGATAAATCGGCGGAGCGTGTCGAGGCAAAGGGCGTACATTTTAGTTTGAATTTGATGCCATAAAGTGTTTCCAGTGAGCAGGCTCAGGGAGATAAATCGGCGGAGTGTGTCGAGGCAAAGGGCGTACATTTTAGTTTGAATTCGATGTACCGTATTTATTCGACTATTAGCCGAGGGATTTTTACACAAATTAAAACTGAAGTGAATTAAAATTAGGGCTCTAGAGGGGGTCTCGGCTTATAGCCAAAAGTTTTTGAAAAAAAAAAATTTCCAGCGCATGGAAACTCTACTAAATCGAGATGTATTTACGTATAAGCCAAGCTAAAGTAAAGAAACAATATGCAATCATTGGTTATTAACTTTTAAGAATGTGGTAGCTCCTAAAGGAGCCGTTTGTTAAATTTAATGTGTTTTCACAGAGAAGGTAAAGATTCTTGATAGGGAATAACCGTGACGCTGACGGGATGTGATTACAAATCGATGGAACTTGACTGTCTGCTGCTCCAGATCTTCTGGGAGACGCTGAGTGAGTGTTGTTTTAGTGCGAAGGCTGACAGAATGGCGGCGCTTCCATTTCTGGTACCAGCCAAGGGACGCTTTAAACTCAGGATACTCGCTAAATTCCTTTTCCTTTAGACATAGCATCAATCCGCTAACAGCTATTCCTATGCAAAACGAAGTGAGAAGGTTACCAAACGATCGAAAGGTTAAAAATTTGACACGTCTTGAATTTGTTTTGACATTTGTGAAAACTGGCCAATGAGAATCTTTCATACACAATGTTGTCACATGATACTACGATNAAAATTTCCAGCGCATGGAAACTCTACTAAATCGAGATGTATTTACGTATAAGCCAAGCTAAAGTAAAGAAACAATATGCAATCATTGGTTATTAACTTTTAAGAATGTGGTAGCTCCTAAAGGAGCCGTTTGTTAAATTTAATGTGTTTTCACAGAGAAGGTAAAGATTCTTGATAGGGAATAACCGTGACGCTGACGGGATGTGATTACAAATCGATGGAACTTGACTGTCTGCTGCTCCAGATCTTCTGGGAGACGCTGAGTGAGTGTTGTTTTAGTGCGAAGGCTGACAGAATGGCGGCGCTTCCATTTCTGGTACCAGCCAAGGGACGCTTTAAACTCAGGATACTCGCTAAATTCCTTTTCCTTTAGACATAGCATCAATCCGCTAACAGCTATTCCTATGCAAAACGAAGTGAGAAGGTTACCAAACGATCGAAAGGTTAAAAATTTGACACGTCTTGAATTTGTTTTGACATTTGTGAAAACTGGCCAATGAGAATCTTTCATACACAATGTTGTCACATGATACTACGATAGTTTTGAGAGTCACACATTCAACTCATATTCACTCTGCAATCAGCTGATTGATTTATTTCGTGATTTTGTTTCTGGTGTTTTAAAATACAAAATCAATGCTCGACAAAAAGCTTACCTTGGCTTCTCTGCTCTGTAAACCATTCCAGTATTCTTTGATTGAGCCCCGGATACTTCGGCATGAAGCATCCCATCGTCTTCCATTTTGCTGACAATTTAATCTCGCGGTTAAAAGGGTTCGCTTGATCTTTCCTCCAGCGACGGACCATGGACTCACTGATGCCATATTCCCTGGCGATTTCAGAGTTATTTTCAAAAGCTTCTACTTCAGCGACTATTTTAAGTTTAATCGCGAGGTTGTATGACGTGCGACGAGCCTTGGGCATGATGACAACTTGACTTGAAATAAGCGATTGCGAACACGAGATTGTTTGATAGACGCTACGGATGTCTAGGTACTGGTGATGCCGCTTAACAACACAGTTTTAAATTCATTTTTTGGATCACATTAATTCATCTGAGTTATGATTCATTGCTTTTCATGTTTTCTAAGAGGGAAGCTTTTTGCATAATAAATCACCATTGCATCTCTTGTATACGTGCGTGTGTGTTATCGTCTAAGCCTCATTTATGACAATCAATGTGATTTTTTCCCGAAAATGTTAGGTTTTCCCGTAGTTAACAATTCAGTCTTGTAATAATGAATGGATCTTGGCTTATAGCCGGGTGTTTTTTATTTATTTTTGGTTCTCGTTATGCTGAGTCTACACGTTCAAAGTTTGGGGTCTCGGGTTATAGCCGCGATCGTTTTATAGTCAAATAAATACGGTACATTAAAACTCCCTTCCCAGAGCGGGAGTGTGAAGATATCACGGGTTGTTGATGGCTTTTTTAATCCCAGAAGAAATTACATATTTCGGTTTTGAGGTCAGTTATAGCCGGGGGGGGGGGGGGGTTGCCTGAGGTTAAGGGTTAAAAGGGGGGGCGGGTCGGGGGGCCATTATTTAAAAGGGCTTTGCCTTTAAAGCAGGTTCGGGGGGTTTCCATGTGGGGAAAGTATTTAATTGGGAAGGGCGTGGGTAGGGGAAAAGGGTAGAATCTCGGTGGCAGCGGGTACAATAAAAAAAATAGCCGGGGGGGGGGGAGGTTGACTGACGTTACAGTGTACAAGAGAGTGCAGGTCAGGAGGCCATTAATTACAAGAGCTTTGCCTTTAAAGCTAGTTCGTGCGGTTTCCATGTGGTGATAGTATTTCTGAGGGATTGGAGTTGCCAGTCGATATTAAGATGGGTACAGTCGACATTGCCGAAAAATGTCGCGAGGATTTTTTCCGGAATATAGGTGTTGTACCAGTCGAAATTAGGGAGTTGATTGGTATGGTATTTAAGCGATCCGGACCAGAGTCCTTTTCATTTTGGTGCCGGAGGCCGCTTTGTAGAGCAATAGGGTGTCAAAGGTTTCCTGTATGGAGACGTCGTCACCCAAGGTGAATGTAGTGTTGTCAGCGTATTATGACAGTTTGACTTGAACGCGTGAGCCAGGGTCTGTGATGCCTTATATTTGGGGGTTAGAGGGTATTCGGAGAGCAAGAGTTTCAGCCGTGAGAACGTATAGCGGCATAGATAACGCGCAGCCTTGGCGTAGGCCTCTCGAGATTGATAAAGGATGTTAACCATCCATTAACTTAAACGGAACTTGAGACAGAGTTATAGATAAGCTTTATCCAGCGGATAAAGTTTGGTCCAAAACCGAAGTGTTTGAGGGTTGAGAAGAGGAAAGAGTGTGATGTACGGTCGAAGGTTTTCATTTGGTCAATGGAAATTAGGGCCAGCAGTGTGTGTTTCATTTGCATAGCAGATTACATCGCAGATTAAGCTGAGGTTGTCTTTAATATTGTTCTGCCAGGGATGCAGGCGGTTTGGTCCGAGTTAATTATTGTCGGCAATACAGTTGTGGGGTGAGTAGCGAGTGCTTCAGTAAGAATCTGGTAATCAGTGGTAAGGAGAGTAATCAGTCACCAATTTTGAAGTTTAGTGCAGTCTCCTTTTTTAAACTCAAGGTAATCTCTTAAGGTAATTATTCCTCACCATTGCGTCCGGGTTAACAGACTGTGTTTAAAGTAATGGCTGAAAACTTGCGTGATTTCTGGGCCGAGAATAGGCCAGAAGTGTTTATAAAAGTTTGATGTTAGGCTGTTAATGCCCGGTGATTTATCATTTTCCATCTTTTTCAGAGCTCTTTCAAGTTAAGGGGCTGAAAAAGGATCTTCATACAATTGCTGAGAGTTGAGGGATACGAAGGTCAAAGAAAATTCGCAGAGTTGTTTATAGAAGGCAAGTGTTTCAATTAAAGTGTCACGAGTTGAAGTGATAGTGTAGAGATTCTCTCTTGTGAGTGTCTGTATGCTTTTATCTGCCTGCTTTTTCTTGCGAGCGAATAAAAATATCTACCGGTAGCACTTTTTTCTCCCTCTTCTGTGAAACAGGCTTTCGCTCTGATTTTAACTGCCTCAAGGTCACGCTGCCCAAGGACACTGATCTTTTGTTTGGCAAGGAGATAATTCTCTGTGTCCAAGGAATTTCCTGTTGTTGCTCTTTGATTCAGGTGTCTTAGGTCACGTTCTAGTCGTTTGCGTTCCTTGTGTTCTAGTTTACGTAAGGTAGTTGATGGTTCAGGTCAAGAGATAGAGACATTAAGTCATGATCGGAGTGAGGATATTCGAGGATAGTGCTGTGTAGTAGATAGGGAGAGATGGTTTGCGAGGTGTAGAAGCGATCGATGTGTGTACAAATAAAAGAATTCATTGTTCTTGTGTCTCTTCCGGTCCAAGTAAATTCACGTGTATGCGGGTTTCTGTTGCATCAGATGTCAATTAAATTAAATTGAGCCGTGAAGCTATTGAGTAATTGAAGTGCCGATTGTCTGGGTGCAGGGTCGCCGCCTTGTTTATCGAGGTCAGGATGTACAATGCAGTTGAAGTCACCGCCAAGAATATTGTAGTAGGTTGGTGATAAATCGGGTTCAAGAGAAGTGACAAGCATGCAATGAAATCTTGGAGTAAAAAGAATAGTGACCCCACGGGAAGAGTTGGTTCCGTTACTGTAGTAAATATCTCCAGACCATTCGCTTTGAAGTATAATACTTTCCCTTCGCCCGCTGCATAGGTGAGGCCTTTGCCAAACTCACAGACAGAACACTTGTATTTACACTGTAAGACTAGCCCGAACTATCAATTTCTCGGAAGTACACAAGTTAAAGCATATGATAACACTGAATGTATTTAACACTAGTTTAATTTACATCTCCTGTACATAATATAGCTCAAATTGATCCTTTTAAAAATAATAAAAAAAACAGTTCTCTTCTGATCACTGAAGTTAAGCCCTGTCACGCGGGGTAAGTACTTGAATGAGTGACTACCTGGGAATACCCCGTGTTGTTGGCTTGTTCTCTTCTTATTTTTTTGAGGAATTTTTCTATCATTTCTGCTGTTATACCCCTTGCTGGAATGTACCTCTGCTGTCAGTTCCAAAGTTACGCGGCGTTATTACTCCAAGCAATTGAGTCGCGAGGTCATTCTTTCACAATAATATAGCTTGGGCATAGACTGCTCGTTCATTCCAGAGCAGATGTCAATGTTCCATTTTGATCTGTGTCTTCAAATCACCCTTTGTGACGTCACTTTTTTCAAATCACAGCTTCCAGAAGTCTACATTTGCCTTTAAGTGCAACTACAGGCTGAGAAAACGGCCGCAAATGCCAGAGAAAGGGTCAAATAAAATTTGCCATTGATCATGACAAGACCAACTTAGCTAACACTTGTTTTTAATAGCTAGACAGTTTAAGTTAAACACCAAAACCAGCACTGTGTGGTAAAGACAAACGAGAGAAGGGGTGAGGTAAATATATACAAGGAAACAAGTTCTGGTTCAAAGATATGTGAGATATGTAATCAAGGGAAAGACTGATATTGGTGATCCTGGTTGCTTGCTTTTCTACTGTCTACCATCCTCTTTCTTAACATCCCTTGCGAATTTCACTTCACTTTTGAGAGTGCCACGAAAAACATTTCATTCTCTACTGCGCTGCTTTTTAATTTATGTTAGCTTAGCTAGAAATCAACTTCAAGCAAACATAATCCAAAAAAATTTACCATCTTTCTAAGTCCCCAGAGAATTCTCTTCTCCATTCACTCTTTCTCTGTGATTTCCCCTTCCCCTGTATTTGAAACAATCAAATGCAGGTTAGTATTTGATTCCTTGTCGCACATTCTTTAATAACTGGCCAACCGCGCTAAATACAATTACTACAAGACCCGGGGACTAACATGGATGCAGGTCCCCACTATCAGAAACTGTAAGCTCGAGTTACCCACATCTGGGGTAATTGCAAGGGTCAACCCAATCGAAGTGAAATGAGAGGGCATCTCCTTGAGAGGACGGCCTCCTTGATCAAAGTGCCTCCCGCGTCTGGTAAGTTTTTTTTTGTTTTGAGGCGGGCATCCAAGGCAGAGTGCAATGCAAGTCGCCCATTTTATGACATAGAACATTGCCATATGGCCACAGCACTGATCGACGCCAAACTATGCATTACAAGTTAACATGCCTCAGGATGGGTGCGCAAGCACGCCCAAATCGCTGGGGTAATGGGCCCCGCCACCCCTTACAAGAACACACAACAGGATGAACATACGTAAGGCAAGATGGCATGGCAGGACAAGTTGAAAGTTGCGAGAGGCACTAACTACAACTATCTAGAGCTAACTACACCATGAAAATAACAACTGGGAGACACTCCACGAGACTGATGGCGTGCTATCTGTTGGAACAAAAAGACCAGGCAGCAAAGCAGGGGCCAAAATCCAGGGAAAACAGGGACAATTTAACAACGCCAAAGTACACCAAAAGACAGACAAACACGAGCCAAAGAGCACTCCCATGACACTGATGGGGCTCGCTATAAGGTGTAAAGACTATGTACACTCCTGCAAGAGAGGAGACAACTAAATGTCCAAGATCAAAGAGAAAGTAAGCTTAACTTAGGCGATATTAATTAAAGTGGCCATGTATAGTAAGAGGCTGTATACAAAAATCAGCTGTCAGGAAAAGGAAACGGAATTTTTACCAGTTATTTTACAGAGGTCAGGGCCAGTGGACCAAAAATTTTCTTTTTCATCTTGTTTTGCAGATACAATGGGGCAGGAAATATCCCTTTTAATCAAGTTAACAATTTGAGTCGTGCTTAAAACAGAATTTCCAAAGGTTGCCAGATTTCTAGTTTGCCAGATCCAAAACAAAACCGTAGCAGTCGTGAAACAATAAAGTGAAAAAGAAGGAGAAGAGGTGTGACAAGAAAAAGGAAAGAAAAAAGAGGAAGGACTAACAGAAAAAGGACGATCAGAAAGACGGGGCAAGTGGGATGCAAAAAAATTCCACACAGTGTGCACATGAGTGCAAAACAAAAACAATGTTCAATTGTTTCAACTTGGAAATACAAGGCACACTTGTCAGTTTTATTCTTGTATCCCCAAGTTTTTAGAATGTAACGGAAATGGATGTGTGATGAATGATTAATTAAAGTAAACCAGTTTTCTTGTTTTCAATGAGCTCAAGACCGGACTTACTCCACACCGTGGCCCACCGGTTAATCAGCCTTTCATGTGAAGTGGCCCAAAAACCGGAGGAATGCGGAGAGTAGCTAGGAAGCTCCAAAACAAGGCTATACAAATTTTTACAAGAAAAATCATCCGGGAGATAGCCTTGTTTACTGTGAAGAAAAGTTAAAAGAGAGAAACATTTACGACAAAAACAAGGTTCAGGGGACAAGGACACAGAGTGAGAAAACAATCAAAACACTGATCAAGATTGGTGAAACGGCTTCAATGCCATTTGCATGTGGTGAATCCCTCCCGATATTGGGAGAGACTCGACAAGTGCAAACTGTTTCAAAGTGTACAATGTCCAGACAAGTGTTGTCAATGGGGGTTACACAGTGCTTCCGGCTAACAGTTTTTGTTTGTATTCAAGAGAAACCCAGCTTGGTGGTGGTAGTATCCTGCTAACATGCCAAAATCTTCTAGCACCAAGAACATTAAGAATCATCCCCCTACCCCAAAAAAGAGAGATCTCTTTGTGACCACAAAACGAAATCTTTTGTTAACTTATCCAGTTTAGGTCCCCAATTATCTTCTTCCACATTAACCAAACCATTCGAAAAATAACCACCTAGGATCTATAGATCTCTTTGTGACCACAAAACGAAATCTTTTGTTAACTTATCAAGTTTAGGTCCCCAATTATCTTCTTCCACATTAACCAAACCATTCGAAAAATAACCACCTAGGATCTAAAGTTTATTGACCCATTTGATGCCGAAGTTGGAGGAGCAATTTGCTCACCAGTTCGCAAGCCACATTGTTCTTCAATTCCAGAGTCTGGTAGCTCATGAGGGGCATCATAAATGGTCAGGTAGGTGTAGGTAGTGCTAGCCAATCGCACAAAGTGACAACAACACTTGACGTGAAAGGATGGGGTTGCTTGAAACTCATCTCTGATTTCTTGCTTGGCAAACGTGATCATAACTTCATTGTTCCGTTTGTGTTGTAAACATCGTACAGACTTGATTGGAATACCATCCCTGCGAATGGCAGCTAAGGGATCTTTAGTAGGGACAAAATCATAAGCCGAGCATGGACGATCAGGTAAGGGTGGCATAAGTCATCGTTAGCCCAGTTATCCGAGTGGTCAGGATGAGAAGAGGCAGTAACACCAGCATATGAAGATTGCACTTGTGGTACATTATTAACGGTAGCAGCAGCAGAAGATGACACTTGTGGTACATCATAAACAATGGCGGCAACAGAAACAGGATCACTTGGAGCAGTATTTTGAGCTTGCAAGGCTTCTTGCTGTTCGACGCAGTTAGCCTAATCAGCTAATCCAGCATCAGAAGTCATGATCTAAGAAAAACGACCCTAGGCCGTTCAAAGCAAACATCGCTTATGAAGAATTTAGGGCAAGGGGCTATGCCTTTCCCTCCCAGCAGGTACTTAGGCCTACTTCCCACAAACAAACAAAAAATCCAAACAACTGTTCCAGTTTTCTGTGACTTGAAATCGCTGCTTGTGACATCACTTTTTTCGAAGTGAAAGTAAACATCCCCCAAGATTGGTGACAGCATATTCCAAAAAACATTTTCTTTTGGTAATGTCAAACTGGGTGGAAACGTTACGTGGGTGTACCGCGTTTGCCCAATCAG